TTCTATTGCTTTATTCATTGCTTATATGTGGTTTAGTATATTTCTACTGGGTTGTGGCTCACCCTTTATGGGAACATCATTTATGCTTGCATCCATTACATGCAATATGAGAATTGCGAAGGTTTCTGGTGCATTAATTGCATATACTAAGGGTTAAATACATTTTTTGTCTCCAAAGTACGAGTTATTTGTTATTTTGGCATATTTATACATTGAAGTGTAGATTGATACATTTTAAACATTGAGAACCAAATTGACACACTTTTATACATTGGAAATTAAATTGATACAATTTAGACATTGAGGATCAAAATTACATAAAGCTCGTACTATAGGGACTAAAACTATAATTAACCTATCTCTAATTATTAAGCCATTTTTGGGTGCTGGCATTGTCATGAATTGCAGCGGGATCTTATTAAGTCCTGGATGCTGACAAGAAATTTAGTTCCCAAGTGTAGTTCCTGTGTAATGCATTTGTGCTGGTGCTTTGGGGGTAATTGTGACTTGGCCTCTCGCCAACTCCTATTGTTTTGTATTTTCTTAGGCTATTCAATGAAGTCTATTGAACTCTGTGGGGGTATATGTGGAGTCCAATACAAGCAATCTAAGTCTATTGAAATGATTATGCTATGTAGAATGTTGAGTCTCCGGACCTCATTTTGTTGATTATTCGTTTTTAGACTAGAATGATTATTCGTTCAAAGAATGATTCTTTTAGCAATGAAACCGTTTTTCTTCTTGAACCAACAAATTATGAAGAATGATGCCAAGGTTACTCCAACAAGTGTAGAAGCTAATACAATTGCTAATATATGTGATAGGGGCATTTTAAGTTTTGGTTTCTTGGTGGTGCAGTTGGGTAGTTGTAATTCATAAATACTACCACAACGCCTATAATTGATATTGCAGTCGCATTTGAGAAAACTCCCCCCGTTGGTAACTAACCCTTAAAATCATTATTGGACAAATTGAGTTCTTTTATGGAAAATGGTGGGGCTCTGTGTGGGATATGGGACACTATTGTAAGTGTTTCGTGATCTATTCTGTGATTTGTTTTAGTGTATGAGCATCTACGCAGCTGTAGTTCTCCAATGTAACGCCCCGAAAATATTTCAACATGAATTCTCCAAATTAATAGACACTCACTACATAATGACATTAATCCTTCCATCTTCACGTATGTATTAAATGGGTTTAAATACAAAAATTCCACATGCGGTATACATTCCCGACATAAAGGAATACATGAATCTATAGCATATGAAGCATCTAGTCACAAAACAATAAAATTCCTTTAAGGGCTTACATCTTCCAAGGCAATAGCCCGGTTACACAAAAGTGGTCTTTCGGACCCAATACATATTAGCCCTTGTGTACAAAGGAGTTATTGATGGAAGAATTGTCGCTGTGAAGGTACTTAATCTTTTGCGACGTGGAGCTTCGAAGAAGGTGTTGGTTATGAGATATGTGATTAGTAGTTATGATATATGTGATGTTGGTTATGACTCAAATGGATTGGTTATGAGATGTGGTTATGAGAATATGTGATTAATGTTATGAGATATGTGATATTTGTTATGATCAAAGTGGTATCGAGAAACTGATATGTGACTAGTGGTTATGAGATATGTGATGTTGGTTATGACTCAAAGGGATTGGTTATGAGATGTGGTTATGATGTATGTGGGTAGTAGTTATGAGATGTGTGATTAGTGGTTATGAGATATGTGATATTAGTTATGACAAAAAGGTGTTGGTTATGAGATATGTGACTAGTGGTTATGAGATATGTGATGTTGGTTATGACTCAAAGGGATTGGTTATGAGATGTGGTTATGAGATATGTGATCAATAGTTATGAGATATGTGATATTTGTTATGATCAAAGTGGTGTTGCTTATGAGATATGTGATTATGATTATGAAATATGTGATGTTAGTTATGACTAAAATGGTATTGGTTATGAGATGTGGTTATGAAATATGTGATATTAGTTATGAACAAAATGGTGTTGGTTATGAGATGTAGTTATAGCTAAGTTATGATCAATTTGATTATAGTTATGAAGAAATATGATTTTAGCTCATAATTATAAAAAGTGACTTGTTTAGCAGGTCACTTTTAATGACCTGGTTATGAAGTAATATGGTATAAGTAAATAATTGAATATAACTAAGTTATGAGTTAATATGGTGATGGTTATGACTAATATGGTATAGGTTATGATATAAAATCATATAAGTTCATAACTAAATGTATGGTACACCTAAATGTACCATAGCATCACCCTTGTCAAATTAGTTCTAGCATTGTAAACAAATACAAAATAATAGTAACAAAAATAAATAAATAAAATTTGAAAAATATTTAAAAAAATATTTTCAGTTGAAACAAACCAGGGTTGATTTGGTAATTATCTTTTTATCGTTATTTTTTTTTTCCTCTTTAGTTTTTAAGATAAAGTTTGCTAAAAAAAACAGATGATATGATCGATAAATGTTTAAAAAAATAGTTTATTTATTTATTTATTTGTTATTGGAAAAGTTGTGTGGCTCCTTAGTTTAATTTTTGGGTAAATTATTAATACACTCTTTGAAGTTTCTAATTTCATAATAAATAATCTCTTTTGTTAATAAATCATCAAATCAACTAATAATTTTTAATGATGCCAAAAATGTATTTCAATTAATAATTTAAATAATTTATTATTGTATAGAAAACAGTTAGAAATTTTATTTTTTCAATTAATAATGCTAAATATTTTATTATTATATAGGAGAATAGTTAGAAATTATATTTTTTTCAATTAATAATGTTTAAATAATTTTTTTTTATAAAGGGTATTTGAAAGACAATTTATATTTTAAATAAATCTCAGAGAGTGTGTTTGTAATCTACCCTTTACTTTTCAAGGGATATTTACCAATAAATCTCATCTCACAAACAAGTACTCCAATTAGTCCTACGTTTTTTCTATTAATTTGTTTAGTCCTATTAGTGAAGAGTTTCGTTATGTGTGGTTCTATTTTCTATTTTGATAGTATTTTGGTGAACGACTATACTTTTTTATTAATATGACAGGTATGATATGATACTCTAATGTGACAAATATTAATGTGACACTCTAACGTGACAGGTATAATGTGACACTCTAAAAAATTTAAAAACTCTTTCGTATACTTTTTTTAAATGTGACAACGTTACGGATATGATGTGACACTCTAAAAAATTAAAAACTCTTTAGTTTACTTTTTCTAATTGTAACATGTGACACTCCAACGTGGTTGGTATGATGTAACACTTCAAAAAAATTAAAAATTTCTTAGTGTACTTTTCCTAAATGTGACGACGTAGCAGGTATAACGTGGCAACTAAAAACTATTTAGTGTACTTTTTTCAAATGTGACAACGTAGTAGATATTGTGTGATACTTCAAAAAACTAAAAACTCTTTATTTGTGTTTGGTTGAGAAATTTAGGGAGGGATTTGGAAAGAAAAAGGGAAAAAGTGTGTGAAACTAGGTAAAATGTATGTATATTTTATTCACGTTTCACCTACCTTTTTCATTTCCTTTTTCAAATCCCTCCTTAAATCTCCCAACCAAACACAATATTAGTATATATTTTTTTCTAAATGTAACATGTGACACTCTAATGTGGCGGGTATGATGTAACACTCCAAAAAAATTAAAAATTCTTTAGTATACTTTTCCTAAATGTGACACTCCAAACATGGGGGGTATGATGTAACACTAAAAAATTCTTTATTATACTTTTTTCAAATGTGACACTCTAATGTAGCGGGCAAATGAGTCATTACACATCCAAAAGGATTAAATGAATCACAAGAAAAAATATAAGACTATATATATCATAAATTCAAAATATATAACTTATTGATCAATCTCCCATTTTTCAATTGTTTGCTTTTTCAATCGAAAATAAATCCTTGTTTATTTTTTTATTAAGGGTTGGTTTGGGGTGTACTAAAAAAGTGCACTTTTTGTCTTTTTACGAAAAGATGTGCAAAAAAGTAGAGAGGTGATGTGATAGAAAAAAGATAAAAAGATAAAAAGATGGATTATATAGTAGATGACAAACAAGGCTTTAATATGCCCCAAAAAATAACCCTTTGTTTTTTTAATCAAATCGAAACAGAGCCTTTAATACAAGCTCTTCTCCTGTAAGCCAACCGTCTCCAAACTAACTAGCTTAAAATGCCGAATACCACTTCATTTCCCCGCCAAATTTCCCAAACTAAACTCTCTCTCTCTCTCTCTCTCTCTCTCTCTCTGTGAAGATGTTAGTGTTCCACCTAATTCAAGCTATCCTACTGAAGAAAGCGGTGTCGCCGCTCTTGCAGATATCAACGAGAGCCACGGCGATCTGCTCAGAGGATGGTATTTCTCTGAAAATTTCACCTCCATCGGTTTCTGGAATGGTTATGGTACTTCTCCAAATCAATTCTTCAAATTTCCATAGATTTCGCTGCAATTCCAACTGCATTGAATCACTTGATCTCTCTTTTCTCAACTCTCTACTCTCTACTACCAATGATCTAGAATCCCTCATTGTCTCCGCCAATTATTCTCATGACACAACTCTCATCTATTTCAACTTCTTCAACAATACTCATCACAATGCTCAGTTCGGTACGCTCTGCTCTGTTCTAGGTCCCAAAACCCTAATTCATGTGACTCATGTGTGATGCCTTCGATTTTCATGTGTTATGTTCAATTACGTATTTTTTATTAATTGATTCTTGAATTGCTTGTTTTTTATTAACCGATATTTGAATATCAGTTATAATACTCAGTTTCGCCTTCAATAATTCTGACTTCATGAGCATACATATATATGTAGTTGGTGCAAATGATAATTTTGTATTTTAAAATTTTTTGGGTGGTTTGAAGATTGAGAAAAATAAATAAATAAATAAACTGTTTAACAATTTTGGATAGTTTTATGAATGAGAAAAATTGTTTAGCACTTCAACCCAAGGGTTGGCCTGGTGGCAAGGCATTGGGCCTTGGGGGTGTGCTCCCTCTAAGGTTTAGGGATTGAAACTTCGTAGGTGTTAATAATTCCTTGGGATCATCGGACTGGGAAAACTTTTGAATTAACCATGGCACACTTGTGCAAAACTCCTTGCTGAGGGTTGTGCACCTCTGGGTTGGCTTGGTGGCAAGGCATTGGGCCTTGGGGGCATGCTCCCTCCAAGATTTAGAGACCGAAACTTCGTAGGTGTTAACAATTTCTTGGGATCATCGGACTGGGAAAACTTTTGAATTAACCGTGGTACACTTGTGCAAAACTCCTTGATGAGGGCTGTGCACCTCTGGGGATTATTCGAGCTTTGATTAGGACACTCCAGTGCCAATCAAAAAAGAAAAGTTGTTTAGCACTTATTTCAATGTAGAAGGTATTCTTGGAGGAAAAAAAAGGTGAAAAAAAATTGTGACAATATTTATAGGAAATAAGGTGTACGCTTGCTTTATATAATAGAATAGATGTGTACAGATATGTGTATAGACACATGGTTGCTTGTGTTTGCTAGAATTCATTCTTGAAAATCCCCTTACCATTGGATAAGATTTATAGTCCATTTTCTATTTTCATTTCATAACCATAATGTGATGTGTTTATTATATATATATATATATACACACATGTGCGAAGCCATATTTATGTTCAATTATGTGATGGTTCATGGTTGGTTTCAAATTGGTTCTTGGAAATCTGTTAAAATATGAAAATTTCTGTTTATGTTAAATTGGATTGATTTCTCAAAAAGTTCAGGAAAACCCATAGAAGTTCACAAAATCTTTATTTTATTTTATTTTTATTTTTTTGTGACTGCAAATTCAATTACAGAAAAACATACAGTAAGGTGTTGTTTTTCTTTGAGTTTTATAGGTTTTTGCAATATCCCACAGGCTTTTTTTTAAAAATGTTCTTATGTTTCAAACTTGACTACATTTCAGAGTCTGATCAAACTAGGCTTCTTTTGTACTACGAACCTCGCACTCCTGGTAACCCTTACAATTATTTGGGCATCCATGAATCAGAATATGAATATCAAGTCATTCTGGGGATACCATCAAATGAGTTTAGGCAGATTTTGAGGTACATAAGGGAGTTTGCAACGCTCATAGGTAATTATCTATTTGCATGCAGCGATTTGATTGATGTTTCGGTTTAATTTTAGCCTGTTAAATTGCACAGGTAGAGAAGGTGACAATTCACTGCAACTATGTCAACAGTTGAACTTTTACTGATTTTTTTTTTCTTCTTACGGGAGCCATGTCTTAGAAATTCTTAATCACCAAAATTAAAGGCGTAAATGCCTAATTTCAAGAGATTAAAGAGAAGAAACATTGATAGGTGTTGTGCTATGGGCACATTGAGTGGGTGTCTGGGAAGTAGGTTTTTATGTAGATTTTTTTAGTTGCAGGATATTATTGGATAAAAAAATTTTGGTGTTTGGAAAGATAGTTGGGTTTTTTTGTGGTTGGATGTGATGTTTATAAGAAAAAAAGTGAAATGATTATGGGGTTTGATGTGATATTTTGTTTGAATTTGTTATTTTTGGTTTTGCAAAAAGTTTGTCTTTTAGTGTAAAAAATCAAAAAAAAACCCAATCCATAAACTTCCCAAACACCACCTTGTTTGGTTTGCTTTTAAACTTTTTGAGTCTTGATGTCAGAAGTTTCCTTGTTTCGTTGAAAAATTACTATGCACGTGGGGCGCCCATGCCCCAACAATCCTAACGCTGTGTTTAGTTAGGAAATTTGGGAAGAAATTTGGAAAAAGAAAGGGAAAAATGAGTTGAAATGTGAATAAAATATACTTACATTTCATCTAGTTTGATACACCTTTTCCTTTTCTCTTTCCAAATCCCCTAACTAAACACAGCGTAAGAGCCACACATTCACGCTTGGGCAACCAATGGTTCATTTACACAAAAAACTCATCTAGTGCATCAACACTTTTTTTTTTCTCCTTTCAAAAAATACATAAATTCTGCGTATATAGCATTACGCTTTTTTATATACTTATTTTAGGAAGTTATTTTTTTCTTTTTCTTTTTCTCTTTCCTTGGAATTTATAACATTAGTGTGGCCTTGCAGTCGATGTGATTGTAACTGATACAGAAGTTTTGACATTCAGATCAGGATCTGAAGACCTTATCCTTACAAAAGAGGTAAGAAAATCATCAAAGTTCAGTCTCTCCTTTGCTTTGTATTGTATTGCTGTTTTAGGAATGACTTTAGATTACATGTCGGGTAACTATACAGAATTTTCATACGAAATGACCGAATAAGTTTTAACTCGAATGTTAATATTCATATATATATATATATTGCTCTGTTTCCTGCAGGCCGGGTGTATTGTGTGGGGTGTTGATTCAAGTAACCAGGTTAGCTTTCGAATGACTTTGTTCAACATAAATTCATTCATTGAAGCCTCGGAGAACTCTGCTTTTGTATGGATGTTCCAGTCCCCTGATTTTCCTGGCATGCTCAATTGCCCAGTCGGACATTTTGGTAACATCAAGTATTACTTTGATAAGAGATATGACCTTGGAATTCATTAGCTTCAAACAGATGACACCCCACCTCCCTTGTTCAAAGATTGGCAACTAGTTTCATACATATGACACTACCTTCCCTCTTCAATTGCCCTGTTTCCTAATTCAAATCTTGACATGTGAAACAAAAAGTCAAACAAACCAAACCAGAATTTCTGACTCAGATTTTGTAATCACTGGTGTATATTTTGACCTAGTTATTGTGGGGCGACACTATGAGTAAATTTCAGTCTTTGATTACAAATTCTGGGCAATTTTTGGGTTTTTGAAACTACTATGAATTTTCCCGTATTTTCTCTATGTACAACTAAATTGTACATAACCAACACAATAGAAATGACGAAGATATATTTTTTGGGGAGGAAATATAAAAACTTCAATAAATATTGAGACGTGTTGAAATATTCTTCATTTTGAGAATATTGAGATGTGTTGAAATTGAAATAGCAGAATTATATGGTATGATGTTACCGGATATACTTCACTTTCATTTTGTTAGTGGTGAAACCTCATAGAGCTCTTCTTTGATGTAATTTATCAAGCAATGGACATCTCTCATTATAACTATGGAATGGAGAGAATCGTAATCCATATATGAATATATATATATTAGTAGATGTGCACACTCACATGAGTGTGCTTGAAATATGCAGTATGAATATGTAGGTTATTACAAATAATTTACGAATAGTTATAAAATGGAAGAGAATAATAGTATACATATAGTAAAAAACGAAGAAGGATGTTAGGGGATATAAAAATCCATTTGGCATGGGGGAGAAAAAAGGCCTCAAGACATCAATAGATGTGTTCCCTTTATATATAGTATAGATATAAATATATATATATACAGGGCCGGCCCTAGGCTAAGGCTGGTGAGGCCTGTGCTTAGGGCCCCAAAAATTAGGCTAAAAAAGAGAGCCCCAAATTTGGTCTTGCACGATATTAAAAACTTAAAATGGCCCAATTTTGTTTAATTAATTTAGGCCATTTTAAAGGGGGCCTCAAAAAATCTATTTGGCCCAATTGATAAAATGTCCAATTAAAAAATATTTATAAGTTTTAGTTGTTAGTCCAATTAAAAAAATAAAAAATAAAATATATGTATATGTATTAGCCGTTAGCCTAATTTTGTGTGGCCTATTTTTTGCTCTCTTTACGGCTCAATTATGTGTTTTTTAGTATTTTTTTAAAAAAATATTTTACACAATTTTTATTTATTTATTTTGTAGATATATCTAGTTTAGATAGATACACTTAAAAACTATAATATTTATATATTTTTTTAAAAAACGTTACCAAATACAAAAAAAATATTTTAAAAAAAATACGAATTGTAAACTCAGATAATTATTTTTGAAAACTCTAAACCAAACAGAGTGATTTTTATTTTTAATAAATATCTAAATGCCTCGAAAAATTATTTCGCCTTAAGCCCTCGGAAACTCAGGGCCGGCCCTGTATATATATATATATATTTATTTTGGAATTTTGTGTCAAAATGTTTAATGCGACTTCTTCTTATAACTCATGAAAGCAAAAATAACTTAAATAATTTGATTATTTGAAAGTTGTGGAAGAAATGCTTTTAAGTTTTGATTTTTGATAATTAACTTTTAATTTAAAAAAAACTACACCAAAAAAGTCAGGTAGCTTTGTCTATGTTCTAAACGATTATTTTTATCCAAATTGTAAAATAATAATAGTTTAATGATCAAACATATTCAATTAATAGGAGAGAAACAAAAAAAACAGAGACTCGAAAACAAAGCAGAACTAGAAAACGACTTGAATCTGGAAAAATGAAACAGAAATGCAAACTGAGGCTCATATATCACATGGTGTCCTTAAACAGATTCACCGGAAGTGCTTGAGGTTATGCTGACCCGATTCGAACCCAAACCCAAGCCCAATCATAACAAAGTCAAAGTCTAAGATCCTGGGCCATAGGCCTGGTTTGGGCAAGCCCAATCATAACACAGTTCAAATCTAAGATCCGAGGGCCCATAGGCCGGTTCGGGCAAGTGGCACGGGTGTGGCAATTTTTGCCTAACAAATTTGATTCATAATCTTCGTCCAAGTCCATCCATTACTTATTCATAATTTCATTCTTTTGAAAAATTTGAATACTCAAAAGGTCCAAATAATAGGAAAAATCTTGGGATATAAATACTCGTTAATGGTTTCAACTTTAATCAATGTGGGATAAGTGACTTTTTACCTTCTCAAAATCTCTTTCATTATGTCCATTTTATGAGACAATTTTTCATTCATTTCTTAATGGTTTTGGCTCATTTCTTTTTGTGGCATAACCCCTCACCTAGGAGTATCTAGACCGACTCAGATCTACCTCAATCAACAGTTGGGTACCACTTTAATTTCATATTAAAGTAACTAACAAATCATTATTTTCTAACAATTATGTGCATATCTAAATGACAGAGTATATCATAATTAAATTTGAGTAAAAATTCTCATATCAAAATGAGTCCAAATTTAAATTAAATTTGTGTAAAAATTCTCAAAAACTCTCTTCAATATTTCAAGTTATGAACTTTAGAGAAGTTCAATCTTACGGGAAAGGCTATGGTACACATCTCTTAATGTGTGTATACCATATACACCTTATAACTAAAGAAAAAAAAGGTATAATTTCATACTTTTTGAGTCATAATTAAAATAAAAAAAATCATAACCAAACAACATATGTGACATAATCAAAGATTTCATGAGCCATAATTAAAATAAGGTCGTAACTAAAGAAAAAAATTGATTATTACTAAATAAGAAAAGGACATAACTTAATTGTGTACATGGTAAAAGGTATGTAGAGTAAAATTTCCTCAAACTTTAATAAAATACCAATATGGTTGAGCATAATCACTTCACACATTATGTTTGCAACAACGTTACGAATACAGATAAAAGTAAGTATAAAATTACATATTGAGATGTTTTTCAAGTGATAAAGCTTACGAATACATAAGCTTCCCTCTTCATAATGTGTATGGGAATATTTTAACAATCGTGAGTTGGATAAGAATGCTAATGGCCTTTCCTTGTTGGAAAACAGCAATGGACATCATAAATGAATTAATATATAATTCAACACTAAATATTTGATAAAAGGAACTGGATCCTTTTTGGTGCGGTATTTCAATTGGACGGTCTAATTCGATCTATTTGGAGCTTATGTTTTATCTATCTTGATAATTTAAATTGTTCAATATGTAGGTCTCGTTAAGTATTTTATCCCTATAAAAATCACGTTAATCAGATAGTAATAGCCACTTGATCATATCACATTTGTATCAACAATTTATTTATAAAATCATACTTTACTGTTGGCACAAATTTGATCTTATCAAGTGACTATCGATATTTAATCAAAGTGATTTTTTATAAGAATGAAATACTCAATAAATTTTACACATTAAATAATTCAGATTATTGATGTGAATTCTGTGATGAGCCTATCGGAGACCTAACAATACTCTCCACTGCCTTAATAAAATGGCCAACCGTTATGAATATTATAATTCAACCAAACAAAATTAATGTATTTATTAATCATTTGATAAGGGGAAATTCTATTCCACACATTTAATGAAATATTATTTTAATGACAGTTATATCCTAAATTAAAACGACTATAATGGACATCTATCAACACCTAAAATATTATGTGAAAATATTCTCTGTACAGATCTTTTAAAAATAAAAATAAAAATATTGTAGACCTTTTGACTAAAAAAAACTAAATCCCAATTTTATTTTATTTTTTTCCATTGTTGTCACTTTGTTTGCTACACACTCTATACTCCTCTATTGCTTGCAAAGCAATACTCTCATAATAACTCTCATATTGGTTTGATCTGTACGTTTATACTCTATTATTTATATTGTTTCTTATTAGTTTCACAATTTTTCCTCGATTTTGTTATGGAAGAGTTGCAAAACAATGAAAGTTTAAACTCAAGCAAAAATATGTCTGGTGACAGCAAAATCAGTGATGAGCAGGTTAGTTTTTTCGTGCACAATTTTTTTTTTCTTTTCACGGTTTTCACTTAGATAACCAGTGTCGAAATATTTTAATATTTTCAGATATCAACTGCTAAATATTTTAATTTATCTCGACACACTAAGACCGAAAATAATAGATTTTTTCGATACTTAAGTACCGATTTTTAATAAATTTTTTGGTATTTGAAAATCAAATTTAGTAATTTATTTCGGTTATCAAGTGTCGAATTATATTGTTATATTCGGCTCTATATTGCCGGCTTAAATAATTTTTTTTTTCCCCTTGTCAAGTTCCATGCACTAAACAAACTAAGGTTCAATCTGATATTATGGTGGATTATACTAGTCATTTTACAGCAAAACAAGTAACATTTAACATAAATGTCATAAGTTAATAATTTTTATTAGTTAATTTGTTTAGTTTGTTCTTATGAAAGTTGTGTGACATTATATACAGATTTTCGACAATAAGGATAAATTGCTTACTTGGGTACGTGATATTGGAAAGATTAATGGCTTTGTTATTATTATTAGAACATCAGACTATGGTGGCGGTCGCAAGAGACCAAGAATTTATCTTGATTGTGAGCGGAGTGGCAAGTATAGATCGCATAACAAGTTGAAAGATGGTTCAGAAAACTTGTTGAGACAAACTGATACGAAGAAGTGCAAATGTCCATTTGATTTGAGGGCATACAAGTTGAAAACAAACGATGAATGGACATTGAATGTAGTTTGTGGACTCCATGATCATCCAATTGTGGAGCATCTACAAAGACATTCATATGTAGGGAGATTGTCAGCTAATGAGAAGTCACTATTAGTAGATATGTCAAAGAGCCTGATATGACTAAAAAAGATACTCATTACACTCAAATAGAGGAATGCCCTTAATATGAGCACAATGAAAACAGTTTACAATGTACGACATCGATGCAGGGTTCTACAGAAAGCTAGTAGATCCCAGATGCAACAACTGTTGGGTGAATTAGCGAAACATAAGTACATTGAGCGCCATTGATGTGATGAAGGCTCTATGACTATGACGTACTTGTTTTGGGCACATCCAGTGAGCTTGAATTTGCTTCGTACATTCCCTTATGTGTTGATTATGGATTCCACATATAAGATGAATAAATATCGACTTGCTCTTCTTGAAATTGTGGGAGTGACATCAACTCATTTGACATTCTCTGTAGCTTTTGCATACTTGCAAACTGAGCGTGTTAATAATTATGCATGGGCGTTACAAACATTGCGTAATCTTATGGACAACAATGTTTTACCTAAAGTCATTGTTATAGACAAAGAGTTTGCATTGATGAATGCCATTGACAACACCTTTCTAAATGCTCGACATTTATTATGTCATTGGTATATTACACTACAACAAAACGGTACTTTAATGACAAAATCACTTCGTCTCCAATAGTGAAATTTTCGTCACCAAATTGATCCGTGACGAAATAATTTCGTCACCACGTTCGTCATCAATTCGTCGTCACTAAAAGTACAAAAGAAAAATGGAAGAAGTCTAACACTGCATCGAACTGTTTAGTATTGTCATCGACTGAAGAAGAGTGCAATGATCACCTTGCAATATTGCATAAGGATTTCAGTAACTATTCCGAAGTAATCAAGTATGTTACTGTGAGTTAGTTGAATCCTTGTGGACATTGGGTCAATGAATAAATGCGTGGAAAGGAGTGTTTGGTGCGTGTACAATGGTTATGAGTGAATGGTATAATTATAACTTTTAGTGTATAGATTGAGAAAATTAATTAATAATTAAATTAATATGTGTGTGTATTGAGAAAAGATGTGTACTGAGGTAATTAAGTGTGTGGAAATAGAATTTCTCTTTGATAAGATTCTACGCAAATGATGAATTGAATATGACACTTGTTTATATAAAATTACCAAAATGCCTTTCCAAGTTTGCCCTCTAAAAACTTATATAGGCTGAAAGCCTCCCCCAAAGCAATTTCATTATTCAAAAATTTGGTAAATGTTAAAATTCTTAACATTTTCAAAGCAATATGATTTTCCTTTAGTTAACGTTAAACACTGGCTAATTCTACATTATCTTGAAATAAATCAAGATTGTTTTGATGGAAACAATTGCCTAATCTATAACATAATATTTTGTGGCTCATAAATAATATGAACATCACCAGTCTTTACGTTGTATTATCAAATTGCCTTGTAAGTGCGAACAGTTAGATTAATAAGCATATAATGGTTCCCTAATTAAATAGTTGTAAGATAACATGAGTTAATTTATGTGAAGTATTACTATTTGCAATTTTAACTTATAAAATGGGAAATTTGTGATTATTTTAATTAATAGTTTTTGGACCATCTATGATCATATATATATTCATTATTGAATGCAGACTATATTTTGAAGATTATTTTGTAATATTATTGAACTTATGACCAAAAAAAAAAAAACTTAAAAAATGTTTAAAATTTTAAAATCTGTAAATTAAATTCATGTTGCACGTGTTTTGCACCACAATAAATTTAAATTTATATGATTTATTCAATTTATTTTTCCCAATGACATAGCATTTATGTTTGTAATTTGCATAACTTCAAACCTCAAATTATTTGAAAATTGACTTTGCTCCAAACCTCTTTAAAAATAAATAATTTTTGGTAGCATTTTGTCATTGTACAAGAGGAGAAAATGAATGAATAAATAAATAAATAAATAAAATATTGAGAGTTGTTTTGGAAACCACTTAAAATATTAAGAAAAAATAAAAAATCATTATTAAAAAGTCAACTATTCAATTTTGTGTATATTTAAAAAATTAAAATATTAAAAAACCACCTAAAATAAGGTGAAAATGGCATGATGGGTATGGTTTATGGGAACAATGTGACGTGTATTAGTTTGTTTTTTGTGCTGTGGTGAGAGAAGATCCAACTGACAAAGCCCACCTTGAATACTCCCATTCTATTCTTCTTGTTTTCTCCCTTGGTTGGGATATACTTTGGCATATAATCAATCATGTCCCTTTCAACAATTTCATTTTTCTTCCTTAAAAAAATCACTTCACCAAACTTATTTTTGACGGTTTATAATTTAAAAAAAAAATTATATATACTTATGTTTATATCTTTATCTATATCTATATTTATATAAGATCAATGTACAAATAAATATAGTTAGGAAAAAAATTAATATTTATAGATGACTAGATTCTTAGTTATACTATGACGCTGTATGTGGTGGTACACTTTGTCCATAACCCTTCTATTCTACAAACCCAAGTGTTGTAGGCTAGAGCTTATATAATCAACAAAACTCTTTTAAAGTTTCAATATGGGACAATCATTTCCAAAGAAACCCACATTTACTTCCTTAAATTTCCTATTCCACGAACCCGAAAACGACATCATGTTTCTATTCACTCATAAATAGTTTTGACGAACCGTCTTCACCGTATGACTTGCTACGTGGTAAGGAACACGTCACCTCTTCGGATCCACCCCAAAAAACGCTCGGGGTCCATTCAATTTTGTGCTCAAAGATGACCCTAAATAAACTTTATATACCAAATTTTCCAACAGTAATGACTATAACTAGTAATGACAATTGGTAACTATAACTGGTAATGACAATTGGTAATAAAGAAGAGGCTATAAAAATAAGTTGGTGACAAAGTTGGGGTTTAAAAAGGGAATATTTGTTCGATTATGGTAAAGTTTAAAGAAAAAGAAATGATCAATTTTAACAAATGAAGATTCAAAGACGGGGAAGCTAGGGAATCACTCAAAAAAATTCGTTACAAGCGAAAGTGTACGTAGGCTATTTTGGTAAATTTGTAGAAGCGAAATTTATTAACTAATTAGCAATTAGGAATATAAAAATCACCTTACTTGTTTTCACTTTTTAAAATAGGGGTTTTTTTTTTTTAAGGTCCTTGATCTTATGATTTTATAGCATAAAGGACATCAAATATTTTTATGATGTCTAAGGTCCATCAACAATATTTTCATAATGTCTAAGGTCCCTCAACCTTGATCCAGAGAAATTTCAGTCCAGAGAAAATTGGTCCAGAGAAATTTCAGTCCAGAGAAAATTGGTCCAGAGAAATTTCAGTCCAGAGAAAATTGGTCCAGAGAAATTTCAGTCCAGAGAAAATTGGTCCAGAGAAATTTCAGTCCAGAGAAAATTGGTCCAGAGAAATTTCAGTCCAGAGAAAATTGGTCCAGAGAAATTTCAGTCCAGAGAAAATTGGTCCAGAGAAATTTCAGTCCAGAGAAAATTGGACCAAATTTCTCTAGAAAGTCTACAGCAATTCTGAATTTCTCATAATTTCTCTGGCTCAATTCTTCCTAAAATTTCTCAGTATTTCTCTTATGCATTAGTTGAGTCCAGAGAAATTTTGAATTTCTCTGGTCCAATTCTCTTTAAATTTCTCTGATTTGCAAATTTCTTTAGTTTTCTCCCAGAGAAATTTCTAGAATTTCTCTGGACTCCAAACCAGAGAAAAACAATGCACACACAAAACACATTAAATAGAGAAAGAGAGAGAGGGGTTAAACAAATGTTGATACCTAGAAAAATGCAATGAAGCCTATTACAGATTCAAAAACTCTAATTTGATCATAGAAATACTCTTGTAGGCCAACAAGTGTAAACCCATCTTCAATCCCAAGAATGATGAACTGAGGAGCTAACCAAAACACACTCATAGACAGATAACCAGAGAAATGTTTTTACTGATTTTTTTTAATATTTTAAATAATTTTTTTACTTTTTAGATACACCTAACATAAATACACCTAAAAAATAAAAAATTATAAAAAAAATCTTTTAAAAATTCACTAAATACCAAAAATATAAAAAAATACAAGAATTCAATACAATTTTTTTATATGGAAAATGTTTGAGGGCCACAATTTGTGACCACAATGGCTCAAAACTATCAAAACGATGTCGTTTTGGGTGCAAAACATATCAAAACGACGTCATTTTGACAGTTTTGAGCCATTGTGGCCACAAAAATTGTGGCCCTCTAGCATTGTTGTTTTTATATTTTTATATATTTATTAATTTTTTAAAATATTTTTTCACAATTTTTTTTTTATTTTTTAAATACATTTAAATAAGATAAAAAAAATATTTAAAATTTAAAAAATATTCGCTAAAAACAAAAAAAAAAAATACAAAAATCAAAAAAATCGATTTAAAAAAACCTTAATTCAAAAAACACAAACTAAACACACTTATTTTCTCGCTTACCAAACAGGGGGAGAAAGCGAGAGATTCATCGTTTACTCGTGCTTTTGGCTCCCTTTCGGACAAGCGAACTTGAACTGAAAGCCACGTCGATCTCTTCACCCGCTCTGTTATTTTCTTCTCCAAATTTTCCCTAGAAAACTACGCCATAAATTTTCTCAGCTCCACCTTCATACTCTCATTCTCAATCGAACGTGATCGGTCAGTGCTACTCTTCCTCATTTCACTCCTTACACCATTCAATACATACATACACACTATGCTGATATATATATATATATATGTACATGTATCTGTTTCTCTTTGAGCATATATGTGTGTATGTATACTTATTTTGATTAATTTATTCTGATCAAGCATCAATACGCTTGGCCTTTGTATGTTCTCATGATTATGTGATTCGAATAGCAAATTTGGATTCAATTGATGTCAATTCGATTCGATTAGGTCATTTTTCTGAATATTTGCTTTAAATTGCTTTTTTCGCAGGTGTTTGATTTGATACTAACAATAGTTTGTGAAATCTACTGTAGAATCAGTTAGAAAATCGTAGAGATATGGACATTGCATGTAATTTTCGGCAGTCAAACTTGTTTCATAGAAGTGAAGTTACAGGTTACAGTACTTCAGATCGTTTGGATTCACATTTGAAGTTTAGGTTTAGAAGTATTGGTTGTAATGTTCTTGGCAATCAAAGAGTTCTCTCGAAATCATACCTGAAAAATAAGGTGAAGAAAATAACTGTGTCTAGCACGAACAGTAGTGTCCATTCAAGTGTACTTGGTAAAAGAGATTTTGATAACAATCTGTGGGGTTATAATTCACGTGGATCTTTGATTTGTAACTTTGTTAATGTCTTTAAGACATCAAGGGGAGTAGTTAGGTTGCGGTGTCTGGGCAACGACTCAATAGCTTACATTGATGGTAATGGTCGAAATGTAGAATTTGTTGAAAGCCATAATGAAGAATTAATCAATCCGGAGTTGAATAATGGTTTGGGGGAAGAAGTAGGGGAAGGAGAAGAGAACGAGGGGCCGACTTTGGATGAATTGAGGGAGTTTTTGCAGAAGGCGCTTAAGGAATTGGAGGTTGCGCGGCTTAACAGTACCATGTTTGAGGAGAAGGCTCAGAGAATATCGGAAGCTGCGATAGCATTGAAGGACGATGCAGCAAATGCTTGGGATAATGCTAATTCTACGCGTAATACCATTCAAGAGATTGTGAATGAAGAAACTGTTGCTAAAGAAGCTGTTCAGAAAGCAACAATGGCCCTTTCTTTGGCTGAAGCAAGGCTTCAAGTGGCAGTGGATTCAGTAGAAGCTGTGAAAGGTAGAAATGATTCCATGGAAGCTTATGGAACACCGAAAGAGTGATTTAGAATATGAAAGTGGAGGGGATGAGTCGAATATATTAAGGAAAGATGAGGAAGCAGTCTTGGTTGCTCGGGATGATATTAGAGTTTGTCAAGTTACTTTGACAAATTTGGAGGCAGACTTGAGACAATTGCAAAGCAGAAAAGAGGAATTGCAAAAGGAAGTGGACCGGCTAAATGAGATTGCAGAGAAAACAGAAATGAATGCTTTAAAAGGGGAGGAAGATGTGGCAAATGTGATGCATTTAGCAGAGCAAGCTGTTGCTTTTGAACTTGAGGCAGCACAGCATGTAAACGATGCACAGATTGCCTTACAAAGAGCCGAAAAAGATATCTCCGTTTCTTATGTTGATAGCGCGGAAACTACTGTACACCAAAATGGATCTTCATCCCAAAGTGAGGACGAATTGGTTGAGGAGGGAAAGTTGATTCAAGGAAATTCAGGTGGTGTTGTTATTGAATGGGACATAGATGTGCAAATTGAGGCTGCTTCTTTGGTTACTACTGTGCCTTTTCCAGGTACCCAGTTTGATGAATCTGGCCAGAGTTTTGAAGGACCAAGTTTATCTTCTGATAGTGATCAAGAGAATGGAAAAATAAGTTTAGAGTCGTCAAAAGATACTGAAATAGATTCAGAAAAGTCAAAGAACATGGCGCAAACAAAAAAGCAAGATTTACAGAAGGATTTGAGGAGGGAAGGATCACCATTTAATGCTCCAAAAGCATTGCTGAAGAAATCTTCTCGTTTCTTCTCTGCATCATATTTCTCTTCAGATGGGACTGAGTTCACACCAGCATCCCTTTTCCATGGTCTTATTGAGTCTGCAAGGAAGCATTTGCCTAAGCTCGTCGTTGGCTCATTGCTCATTGGAGCCGGGTATGCAACGTTTTCAAAGATGGAATTTCTGTGTATGATCATTTTTACTGTTTTATTTATGACATGCATCCCTTTGAATATCTGTTGCAGTTGTTACTGATTTTAGATTATTGTCATCAATTATTTCTGGTAACAGTATGTGTGAACATTTATTAGATTGCTATATCTGATACAAAAGTTGCTTTTCTTGATTTACCACAGGATTACCTTTTATTTCAGTCGGGCGGAGAGAATTAACCAGCTATTTCTGCAACCAGATATCATTACCACTAGTATTGACGAAGTCTCATCAAATACAAAGCCTTTAATTCGTCAAATATGGAAATTGCCTAAGAGAGTTAAGAAACTAATGGAGATGATTCCTCATCAAGAGGCATGTGCTTGAAATTCCCTTGCGTACTCTGTTTGCCCTCAGAACCTAGTATTCCATACTACTTATTTGTTTAGGATTTTATTTTATTTTTTGTTTCGGTTTTACATGATTGAGTATTCTTTTTTTCTTTGTTATTATTATTATTATTATTATTTAGGTAAATGAGGAGGAAGCTTCTCTTTTTGACATGTTGTGGTTGCTGCTTGCAAGCGTCATATTTGTGCCTATATTCCAGAAAATACCTGGAGGTAATTGAAGCCTCATCTTTGACTTCTTCTTTAGTGTAAGATGGTTGCAGTGTGACATGCTTTCATGTTTGGATATGTAAGGTACATGTACTTCATGATTGTTCCTATACAGTGTCAGATAAAATTGGAAAGGTACATAGAAAATTAGCATGGCTCCTGCACAAGGATGACATACACCATGCTACTATCAGAACTTTTTTATATCCAGATTTTTCTGCTTGGCATTTTCATAGCTCATGTTTCATTGTCCATGTCTGTTATTGATTATGCTTTTGTAAACTTATTCTAAAAGTAGAACATTATAATTGTTAGGAGTACAATTTAATGAATTTGATAATGCTGGAAATTGTGTTCATGCATATAATATGATAGTGGTGTTGGTGGTAGATAGTGGCATGTATATAATATGATAGTGGTAGATAGTGGTAATATATAATATGTAAGTGGCATATAATGGGTTATGATGATGTTTGTAATATCTCCTATATAAGGAGTGTCATTTGGTCTTGTAAGATAAGAAGTTTTGAATATAACTGAAATATATTCCTTCTTCCTCATATTTTCGGAGTTCTTCTTCTTCATATTTTCTAAGTGATAACAACAATCATACCTTCTTGGACTCAGCCATCATCTGCATGTATTTTCTGGCCATTTTCTTCTTCTAATATGTGTCTGGAGTTTTATTTTGTTTCATTGATGATGTATCTTTTTTATCTGTTTCAATGTTTAGGCAGTCCTGTTCTTGGATATTTGACTGCTGGCATCTTGATTGGACCTTATGGTCTCTCTATTATTCGTCATGTACATGGAACAAAGGCGATAGCTGAATTTGGTGTTGTTTTCTTGATGTTTAACATTGGCCTGGAGGTAGAATCCATCAGACCTTGTAGTTAATTTCTATAAAACAGCTAGTTACCATAACATTTGATCTCCTAATAACAAAAAGAAAAGCTAAGGCTGTGTTTGGTGTGGCTTTGAAATCATGATTCCACCCCTCCATTTGAGTATGATGTTTGGTTACAACTTTCAAAAATTAATTCCACACGACTTTTGAAAACTCGTTTCAGGTAGGATTTGAATTTTGAAATTTGGCCTATCCAGTCGTCTTCCCGGACGTCCGGTCTGTTGACCGGAACAATGCAAATATATATATATTTTTTGGCAATTGGCACCTGTTATTTTTTATTTATTAAATAAAAAATATTTTCTGAATTTTAATTTTTTTTTTAAGCTTTGAATAGAATTTTGGGTTTTATGTTTGGTTATGAGTTGTAAGTTTTTGAATCAAATATCATATATTACATCAATTATTCCAACCTCTTTTCAAAATTCATAACCAAACAAATTTTCCACACTCAAGTCATAATTTCAAAACTTACAAACTCAAAATATAACTCTATTCTCAAATCATAATTCTAAAACTCTACCAAACGCAACCTAAGCATTTGTCTTCATTTTGCAGCTTTCCGTTGAAAGACTGAGTTCTATGAAGAAATATGTTTTTGGTTTGGGCTCTGCTCAGGTGATTGGAAACCTTGTTTTTCAAATATTATCACTTGTGTTTTACCACAAGCTAGCACTTTTATGTGCATTGATGTATTTGAATCTTAGTTTTGTTAATGTGCACAACAAATGCAGGTCTTGGTGACAGCAGTGGTGGTTGGCTTAGTTTCTCGCTTTATTGCAGGTCAGCCCGGTCCTGCTGCAATTGTCATTGGGAATGGCTTGGCATTATCTTCCACTGCTGTTGTCCTTCAGGTAACAGTTAATGAACAGCTTTCTAAGTTCTCACGATATCCTATTTTTAGTTCTTGGGGGTGTTTGAGAAGCCAAAAATTGGCTCTTTTTTTTGGCTTAAATCCACAAAAGAAAAAATAGGCCAAAATAGCCAACAAGACAAAATGTCACATCAAACCAATGATCATTTCACTTTTTCTCTCACAAATATCACATCCAACTACAAAAAAATTCAACCCTCTTCCCAAACACAAATATTTTAGCTTACTAAAATAGTCAAAAACTAAAATAGCCTATTAAAATAGCCAACTTCCCAAATGAGGTCACTTTGTTCCATTAAGATCAAGTAGTCAGGACTCAAAATTTGTTGGTTGATACCCTTTTATTAGGGAGTTGAATAATTTTATAATATTTTCTTTTGTTTTTATTGTACTTTTTTCTGCAGGTATTGCAAGAACGGGGTGAGAGCACGTCACGCCATGGACGAGCTACATTTTCTGTTTTGCTTTTCCAGGTACCTGTGTGGTCTCAGAAATTATGTTGACCTTGGATGTTATGAAGTGAATGAATTGCTTTTTGGTGGAATTTACAGTGTCTTCTGATACTGTGCAACTATTCTGTGCCATAATTCTGTCTTGAAGGTGAACATTTTGGAACTACATACACCTGTGTAATGTAGAACACAGTTCTGATCCAATGCTTTTGCACCATTTCTGCCCTTTTGGTGTTATAATCTAAGGCATACATTTAAGATGCTTGAATTAGCAGAAATAAAGACAATGCGTTAATAAGTTATTAGTCTGTATTTGTTCCTTAATTATCATATGTGATCGCACCTTCATAGTTTGTCCCTTGATGATTTTTTTTGTCGGTTATATTGTCTGATTTGATTGTGTTTGTGTCTCTTTTGAACTTGGTTCTATAGTTTTTTATTGGCTTTTCATTTTTTTGTTCTTTTCCTCCAGGATTTGGCTGTTGTGGTTTTGCTGATACTCATTCCTCTTATTTCACCGAATTCATCTAAAGGGGGGGTAAAAGTTCTTACTGATTCTTTAAGTTATCATACCACATGTATTGATGAGCAGCCAACTGCCAAATCACCCTTTCTTCTGCAGTCACTGTTGGGCATATGATGCTAACTATATTTGTTTCCCACCTGGAAATGCTAAATGAATAATTATTGAAGATTGTTTCACTTTTTGGTTTCAGCTTGTGTAGGATAGCTGCAACTGCTATTATAGTTGTTTCTGCCAGTGCTATTGCTGCTGCCTCTTCTTTTGTTGCTACTATGGGTAATTTTTCCATCATTTTTAGGTTGGTTTCCAAGCAATTGCTGAAGCTCTTGGATTAGCTGCTGTGAAGGCTATTGTTGCAATTACTGCCATAATTGCTGGAGGGCGCTTGGTGAGTTTTATGTGTTGCTGAACATAAATATGATATACTAAGTGATGAAACAACATTTTTATGCCTGACGATGCAATTTATATCATTTACTTCTCGAGAAGTATCCTTCTTTCAAGAAATTTTAATAAAACATATCATCACGCATCATCAGTGTGTTGTATCAAAGATGAAGATCCATGATATTGTCTACTTGAGTTTATGCAAAACCATGATGTAGCTTTTGACTTCACAAGCAAAAGGATTTTCAAATTTCTTAAGCATTTGTGAAATTCGTGATATTAGTCATTCTTATGCTAATTTTCAGCTACTTCGGCCAATTTATAAGCAAGTTGCGGAGAATCAAAATGCTGAGATATTCTCTGCAAACACGCTCCTTGTTATTTTGGGAACTAGTCTCCTTACAGCTAGGGTACGCTGATGTGTTAGTAAGTTTTACTCTTTTATATCATTGTAGTGTTAAGTGTATGCATTTCTTATTATAAGTGGAACAGGCTGGCCTTTCCATGGCATTGGGAGCGTTTTTGGCTGGTTTGCTTCTTGCGGAAACGGAATTTTCTTTACAGGTTGAATCAGATATTGCTCCATATCGTGGCCTTTTATTGGGTTTGTTCTTCATGACGGTAGGAAATTACTTCTTTCTATAAGATTCATTTATTATCTAATTTAACTATTAAATCTTATTTCTAGTTATGGAAGTTACTTATTGATCTGGTGAGAAGATAATCATTAAGAAAATCAATTTTACAAGTAATAGATCCTCTCTTTATGCAGTCTTCCCAGTTTTTTGAGTCACCTTGCATCTTTCAGCCACTTTCATGCTTTCTTTAATGATAGTCATATAATACCAATCTTCTTACTGAAGCAATGAAAAAAGTACTCTTGTCCATGCCAGTAGATTGCTATCGATTTTAACTGACTGATATGATTACTGTATCGATGAACAGGAATAGTTACTCTGGTACCTCTGGTTAACGACTATTGTTCTTTGGGTTTCAGGTTGGAATGTCTATTGATCCAAACCTTCTTGTTTCAAATTTTCCAGTAATTATGGGGACATTAGCTCTTTTAATTGGTGGCAAGACTATATTGGTTGCTGTAGTAGGTAGACTTTTTGGTATTTCAATCATATCTGCAATAAGAGTTGGCCTTCTACTTGCTCCGGGTGGAGAGTTCGCATTTGTGGCTTTTGGTGAAGCTGTTAATCAGGTTTTCCTCTCTATAAATACTTTCTTGCAAATTTTACTATTTGATTTCCCCTTCCAAACACACATTAATGTGTATTAATTGAGCGTTGTTTTATAGTTGATGGTTTATGTAGCTAAGCGTTACTTCCTTTTTTTTTTTGTTTTGTTTGTTTGTTTGTTTAATTTTACTAATTCCTGGGTATTGGATTCAAACATGTCTATGGGCCCACATAATAAAAGCTTGACTTTATTTTATTTTCAGTGAGTGAGCATTACTTAATATGAATATTTGGTTTGTAACTATATATAGAATATCAATGTATATTGTGGTTACAAATGTATCGGGGTTTGTAATCCATATAATAGGATTCATAGTTGGTGAGACATAAATTATTTGTTTAAATGTGCATATATGTGCATACATGTCATAGCTAAAAGGTGTGTGCATTGTATATGTGAGAATGCATTATGTATTGTGTATATTCTATATTTGGCATGATTGTGGTTGTACATATTATAGGCGTGATTGTGTATGGGTGTGATTGTGGCGTGATTGTGTATTCCTTTCTTGGTTTAGGAGTTAGGGCTATATAATCTAGGGTCTTGTTGTAATCATATATACAATTGAATATATAGATTATTCATTCAGAATTCTTACATGGTATCAGAACCACATGCAAAACCCTAGTCTTCTTGGTTGTTGTTTCTCGTTTCGAAATCTAAGTCTGGTTCATGATTCGAATAACTCTTCTCCATTGTTTGCCGTCTCTATTCTCCGAAGTCACGAGAGTATCAGCAGCGTTTCTCGCCTCTGCTTTCACCGTGATTAGCCACTGCTCTCACCGAAGTCGCGACCTAGTCTTCTCTCACTTGTTGGACTCGCTTGGTTGTGATTTCCCTCTCCCAAGTGCGATTTGTTTGTCTCTCCCTCTGGTTCACCAAGATCGAAGAGAAGTCTACCCTTGTTCCTCTCGATCGGCTTATCAGCTGCTTCAGTTCAGAGTCGACTTCGACTCGTCTCTCTCTCTCCCTGATTCTGCTTGAGTGTTTTGAGTTTAATACATTTATTCTAGGTTTATTACACTCCGATCTCTCAGTTCTCTGTTTATTGTACTTTGCCCCATTCATTTTTTTTTTTTTTTTTGGTTTATTATAATGCCGGAGGATAAAATTCAAGCCATTAAATGTAAACTTACTGGTGACAATTATGCTTATTGGTCTAGTGTTATGAAAATTTTTCTCCTCGGTCGAAAAAAAAGGGATATGTCTCTAGTTCTATTCCTCGTCTATCGGACCCGAAACATGAAGGATATCTGATTTCCTGTGACACTTGGTATTGTGATGATGTTTTTCAAATACAGTACTGCCAAGGAGGTGTGGGATTACTTACAAAGTGTTTATCAGCAGTCCAACTTTGCTAAGCGGTATAAGTTGGAAACAATTATTCATGGCGCTAGTCAGCGGGATCAATCTATTCAAAATTTCTATATTGATATGACAGGTCTCTGGGATCAATTGGCTCTCATGGAACCACCTAGCCTCAAGGTACTAAACCCTTATGTTGAGTTTCGAGAGCAAGGTCGTTTAGTATAGTTCTTAACGACTCTCTCCTCGTCAGTGTGAGGTTGTCCGTGGTGGCATCCTTCATCGGTCTCCTCTTCCTTCTGTAGATGTTATTGTTCGTGAGCTTCTCTTCGAGAAAACCTGTCTCAAGACAGCCAGTCAGACCGTGTCCCCTTCGATTTTCTTAGCACCTACACAGCCACCCCTATTGGCGCCTTCTCAACTTCAATCTTCTGCTAAGCCAAAAAAAGGGCCCTTAGCATCAGATGAGTGTGCTTTCTGCCATTAGAAGGGTCATTGGAAGTACAACTGTCCCAAGAAGGGACGTTCAGTCCCGAGCTCATACTCAAAGTTCTTTTCGGTCTCCCGCTACTTATACTACATTCACTCCGGCTCCAGGTCTTGATTTGGCTTCCTTGAGTACTCAGCTTGCTCAACTTCAGTAGATCTTGTCTACCTCTCAGTCATTTTCATCTGTCTCTGCTCTCACCTCTCTTTATTCAGGTTTGCTTGGGTCCTCTTCAGGTATTCCTTCTTCTGTCTGGTTTTTTGATTCTGGTGCCTCTCATCATATGACTCCTCACCTTTCCTTACTCCAAAATTGTATCCCCCTCTTTTTCCTATTACTATTAATACTGCTAATGGGTCTAGTATGTCTGTTTTATCTCTTGGATCTGTTTTACCCTTTGCCATTTCTGCTGTTGTTATTCCCTCTGTTCTTTATGTTCTTCAACTGTCAGTCAGCTTGCTTTCAATCAGTCAGCTTGACACTTCTGGTTTTGATGTTATCTTTTCTTCTTCTGTTTGTTGTGTATATGATTGGGTGTCCAAGAAGCAGATTGGGACCGGCTATAAAGTTGGAGATCTCTATGTGTTGGAAAGCATGTATCTTTCTCTAGCTCCTTCTCCTGTTGCACTTTCATCTTTTCAGTTAGATTCTCAGTTGAGTCAGTTTTATTTATGACATTTTTGCCTCGGCCATTTGTCTGTTGACCGTTTATGGTCTTTAGCTCAGTTAGGATTGTTGGATCAAGTTTCTCCTAGTCAAATTAATGAATGTCGAGGGTGTAAACTTGCTAAAATGACAGCTTTACCTTTTAATAAAAGTTCCTCTCTTTCTATTTTTCTTTTTTCTCTTGTCCATACTGATGTCTGGGGACCCTTTCCTGTTCGCACTAAAAGGGTTTCTGCATACTATGGATCCTTTGTTGATGATTGTACCCTCCATACTTGCGTTTATCTTATGGCTCATAAATCTGACTTTTATCCGATCTACCGTACCTTTCAGTCTATGATCATTATGCAGTTTGGGAATGCGATTAAAATTCTTCGGTCTGACTTGGGTGGGGAATACTTTAAAACTGAATTCTGTGAGTATTTGGCCAATTTGGGTACCCTTCATCAAACTTCCTGTACTGATACACCTGTCCAAAATGGTCGTGCTGAGCGTAAATACTATTAGAATAAGAAATTGTTAGAATAGGAAATAGTTGGTTGTATTCTTATTCATTCCTTTTTTGATTACTCAGACTATGCATGTAATTGACTCAATTATCAATATAAAAGGGAATGAAGTCTAACTCATTCCCTAACGCTTTCTCTTCTCTAAAATTACATGGTATCAGAGCCTAGACCATAGCCCATACCCTATTCTTGTCTGCCGGTAGCTCTATCTTCCCCAGGAGCCCAGTCAGCCACAATAGCCTCTCACCCAGACCATCGTCTGTCATCCCACAGTCCATCCAGGCCATCGTCAGTCTCCTAGAGGGTCTGTCGGCACTCTAGGGCCTCACCTAGGCCATCGTAAGGCACCCTAGGGCCTGCCGACAGCCTCTCTGGCTTCCTTGGCTTCTGTCAGCATCTTCTAGGCAGCCGTTGACTCCTTCTCGATTGTCGACTCTCTCTTTCGCAGCGTTGTCTCTCTCTCTTTTCTTATAAAGTTATGATGGTATATTAGTAGTGCTTCTAATGGTTGGTTAGTTAGTTAAAAAAAAAATATATAAAAAAAAAAAGACTTATTTTGGTTTTCTCTTTGTGGTCAAGTGTTGGCTATTCCTCCACCATCTTCTGAGTTTGTGATTGACACTGGGTATGAGGGTTACTTAGTAGCATATTCATGGCAGATTTCACTAGTGAGTCCACAACCTCTCAGCCACCTAAGAGCGAGAGTTCCCTTATCCCTTCTACTATGACTGATAATCTCAACCCTAGCCTTAAAATCTCCACTCTCTATTCAATGGTCAGAACTATCTAGTGTGGTCGCAGAGTCTGACTATTTTCTTGAAGAGTAGAGGAAAGATGGGGTATGTTGATGGCAGAATCCAGGCACCCCTCACCACAGACCCGAGTTATGATCAATGGGAGATCACCAACTCCCTTATTATGGGTTGGGTTTGAGGGTTACTTAGTAGCATATTCATGGTAGATTTCACTAGTGAGTCCACAACCTCTCAGCCACCTAAGAGCGAGAGTTCCCTTATCCCTTCTACTACGACTGATAATCTCAACCCTAGCCTTAAAATCTCCACTCTCTATTCAATGGTCAGAACTATCTAGTGTGGTCGCAGAGTCTGACTATTTTCTTGAAGAGCAGAGGAAAGGTGGGGTATGTTGATGGCAGAATTCAGGCACCCTTCACCACAAACCCGAGTTATGATCAATGAGAGATCACCAACTCCCTTATTATGGGTTGGTTGATACATTCTATGGTTCCGGAGATTGGAGAGGGCTATCTCTCTATAGACACTGCATAGGATATTTGGGAGGCCGTAAATACCACTTACTCCCGGAAAGGGAACTTCTCACAGGCTTTCGAGTTACGTCGCTTCATTGAAAGGTCGGTATAAGGTGAGATGACGATCCTTTAATATTTTACCTTCCTTAGCAATGGGTGAAAGCGACTTGATCACCTTCAGGATTATAAGCCTGTCTGTCCCATTGATTCTGTTGGTTATCGAACATTTGTAGCGCAAGAGAGGGTCTTCAAGTTCTTTGAAAGCCTTAATGTGGAGTATGATCCGGTTCGAAGCAGAGTATTTAGCATGGATGTGCTTCATTCTCTCCAAGAAGCCTTTGTTTTTGTGCAGAATAAGGAGAGTCGCCGCTCTGCGATGCTTCCTTCTACTACTCCTGATCGCTTGGCCTTGGTTTTTGCACCCCCTCGCGTTGGAGACCGTATGACTCGTGGTTCTTGTTCTTCCTCTGAGAAAGATAATCTTTTCTGTGACTACTGCCGTCGACCTTGCCACACACAAGAGACCTGTTGGAAGCTGCATAGGACTCCTTCTGGTGGCCGAGGAGACCTCCTGGTACTCGAGGGGGTAGGTATGGTCAGTGTAAGAATTTATGTATTATTGATTGATGTCTTGATTGATAGATTACAAGATTCATTAATTACAATTCCTATACAATCTATATATAGAAGAAAATGTGGTAGTAGGTGTAGTGGAGGTGATAGTG